ATAGTTGAACCCAACATTAAAATTGTCCTTTCAAATTGCCATCTTTGAAATTTGAACCAAGCTTTGGTTCTAGAATTTTTTTAGAACAAATTTTTGTTTTTAAATTGCTTTTGTACTAGACGAAGTTTCATTTATATCTGAAATTTCTTTTGTCGTATTAAAAAAAAAAGGTTGCTGATCGCTGTAAAGCATTAGATAAATCTGTTATTGCATGCTTTACATGCAATAACTGCTATATCATGTGCTCAAAATCTGGTTGGCTTTTCCAAGTGTTATAAAAGTAAATCTGCTGCATAAGTGGCAGATCATACTTTTATAACAATTGGAAGAGCTAACCAGATTTTGAGCACATAATACTTTACGTATTTTATATTCTCATCCTAATTGTTCGGATGACTCAGCTATACCGGCTAGGATCACTGACCAATCAGAATTACCCATAAAATATTACAGTTATTGCATGCAAAGCATGCAATAACTATATATTATCCAATGCTTTACTATGATCAGCTTATAAAATAAATTAATTATTTTATGCCTATTTTATATTTTATAGCTACATATTTATTATATCGCATATAATTTTGCATTTACATATATCGCATCTGTATTTTATACATTTTGCATATATACTATATTTATTTATTTATTAATCGTAACATGATCTGCATTAATATAATAATTATTAATAATTGTAGTTCCAGCTTTTGCACCATCTTGTGAACTCTGTTTTTTGCGTCGTAGAGATCTTCAACCATCTAATGTCAGTTTTTTTTTGTTGCATTTATATGAAGAGGCAAGTTCAGCTTTGTATTATTTTTTAAAGGCATTTGAAACTCAGAATTAACTATTTTTTTTTTTTAGGTTGTGAATCCAAACTGTTATTAGATAACTAAATATATAAAAAATTTAGTATTCATAAATTGAAAAGTTTCACTAAAAATATTACCTGCATTTGAACTTCCTTAGTAGTATCACTATTATTATTCTTATCAGTACTCTCAGAGTTATAAATAGTATTATAATCATGGTCGTAAGCAGTGTCATAAACAGTATTATGATTATCGATAGTATTATGATTATAATTGTAGTTACTCTAAAAATTTCACCTGTTTTTGATAATTTATTAAATCAAAATAATAAAAGTATAATATTTACATATGAATTTTACACTTCAGGAAGATTTACAACATTGATTAAAGATGATAGTGTATTTTTTTTTTGTTGGTCGCTTGGCCGTGAGTAAATTCGATAAGATAATTTATTCTTATGGCTAGTAATTAACATTGAAGTAACAATAGGAACACCTTCACAAAATAAAAATGTACTGTAATTAGGTAGTTCTTCCTAAGTGATTAACAATATCACAATTCTCAATATTTATTTCCGCATCATTGTATATATTTTTCATCAAGTTAACCAAGTTTAGTATTCAAATACCAAATTTCATATCTATATTCTGTATTTAACATTTATTAAAATAGTAATATAATAAATAAGTTAAAAAAATTAATACATTA